CCGGTTCATATACCTATCCAAAAATGTTAATTTACCATAATCAGATTTAATATAGTCAACTCTCTGCCAATTTCTGTTATTTAAGTTAATGATTACAAACTCTCTTGAACAGTTAACTAAAGGAAAGTTCATCAATAGACAAATTACCTCTTGTGCAGAGTAATCATGTTCAGCACATGTTTTGACTAACAACTTTCTGATAACCTTTTTACAGTGTTCATCTTCAAACTGGCCATTGTAAAGTAAATCTTGCAAGACAGATGTATACTCATTACTGTTATACTCACACTTACTGGCATATTTAGCTATGTATTTGTACAAGATTCTTTCTGACACAATAGGACTAAAATCAATATTACTTCTCCATGTTTGTAAAATCCAAGGATTGAAATTATTAACAAATTGATCATTCCTCTGAAAGACTATTTCATGGCCACCATCAGAAACCGAAAGTTCAGATGACTCTTGCAAATCCTTAGGAAAGCCAAACCTACAATCTCGGACAATACGATTTCTTTTCTTTAGACAATAACTAGTTGAACATGAATGGCGTTGAACTCGGTTCACCAATTCTGCTAAATCATCTTCCAAATTAACAATATCTGTGATGTTCTTAGAACAAGGATGAATTAAATTAGGCCTGAAAGATAAATCTGGATTCTGACAAGTAACTAAATTAGTAAAATATTTCAATGCCTCTGCCTTATCTTTTTCACTATTAAGTCTTGTTATATCTGGTGCATTCTTTAGCCAAGCGACACCATGAACATGGCAGCTTCCACGACTTTGAAATTCAGTGCGAAACCAGAAATCTTGTACATCAAAATAATCATAAAAGGTCTTCTTCAAAAAATATTGCACACGATGTTTAAAGAAAGTAGTGAGAATTAAAGGGTTTTCAGACAACAATCTGCTCTTCTCACTGTATGTTAAGTTAGCTGATTCCTCACAACCAAGCAAACGATATAACTCTTTCCAATGATAGTCTGCACTGGACAAAGTAAAAAAAACTGTAGGGGCACCTATTTGCTTAACCATGTCTTCTAATTCTGAACATCGTGAACGCCAATATGCCTTAGTGGATTTAATACGTCTTGAATAAAACAAAATTTCTTTGAGATGACCAGGGTTTCTTTTTAGATATTGCTTCAGCTGATAAACTGTCATCTTATTGAAGAATGAGTTTTGCTTAACAAAAATATTACCAAGCCTTAAAGCTTGCCAACGCATCATGCTATTTAAAAGGAAAAATCTAAATCTTGGATCTTTAGCAAAACGGCCATCTCTATATAGCATTAAATGCTCAACATACTTTTGAAGGCTAATATTACTAGGTAGATGTACGCCAGACCACGTCTCGCGTAACAGGCTTCGCGATATCTCACGAAACACTGTTACGTTGCGACGCGCCTGGCATACATCTACCTAGGCCTGCGGCGCTGACACCCGAGTCGGGTAGTGCAAAAGTGTACACAAAGATACGGGCCTCCGGCCCGTCAACGGCCCGTCACTTTGACTAAGAATGCAGGTGCAGGGTTGTACATTTTTTCGCTTATTTTCGTCAAAAAC